ACTATTCTTTAACCTTCTGTAGCTCTCTGTAGTGTGCACGTGTCAGAGTTTGTCAGTTGATTATCTGTTGGAGGTCACTTAGTCATCTTTTTGGTAGCGTGACTAGTGCTGAAATGAATGTGGCTGTACAGACGCCTAAGCCACAGTTCTCATATCTTTAGAATATATACTTAGTGGTTGGATGGCTGGCTCATACAGTTTTTCTATTTCCAACTGTTTAAAGGAACACCAAACTGGCTTTCCCAGGGGTCGCATGGAGTTACAGTTCCACCACACAGAGTGGGAGGCGCCAGTCCCTCCACGCCCTTGCTGGGACTTGTTGTAGTCTGTGTTTTTGAACTTTGTTGTGAATGTTGGGGTGAGAGGATGTGGCTCCTTGTTTTGATTTGGATTTCTGTCATGGCTGATGATTACATTTCTTCATAAGTTTGTTGGCTGCCTGAATGTTTTCTTTTGGGAGGCATCTGTTCATGTCCTCATTTTTAAATGGCTTGTTTATCTTTTTGTTGCAGTGCTGAAGTTTTCTATAAAGTTTAGAGATTAGTCCCTTCTCTGATATCTCATTGCTAGAAAATGTCCTCATCCACAGGTTCTCTTTTTACTCTGGTGAAGTTTTCCAGTGCACGGCAGTGTTTAATCTTGAGGAGGTCCTGATGGTCTAGTGTGTTGTTGGCATTTGTAATCATGTTTGATAGTGTGTTTTGCTATATAACAGGGCCCCTCAGTTTGCCCCTATTTTCCCTCTGATCATCGTTATTGTGTTCAGTTTTACATTTAGTCTCTAACCATCTTGAATCCATCGCTAATCCAAATGGCGTGAGCTATGGACCCTGTCTCACTTTATGCAAATGCACGCCCAGCTTTGCCAGCACCATTTGTTAAGAGACCGGCTCTTCCCCACTTAATGCATTTTGGCCCTTTGCAAAGATCAGCTGTCCGTCAGTGGATGGACAGGTTTACTGCTGTGTCTCCATTCTGTTACATTAGTCTCAGAGGCTGTTTTGACTACCATGGTTATATATGAAGTTAACTTTATCAAATTTTTGCCAAGGTTGATAAGTGAGAAGTGGTATCTCCAGGTGGTTTTAATTTGCATCACTCTCATGAGTCAGGCTGAGCATCTTTTAATGATTTAATAGCTATTTGCTCTTCTTTTCCTGTGTTCTGTTTGTCCATGTTGTTTGCATTTTCAAATGGATTTTTGGCTTCTTTATCTTAGTGTAAGGGATCTCCCCATGGTAGGAAAATTAACCCTTTGTTTTCCAGTGTAACTGGAGAATGTTTTTTCTTTCTTTGCCCCTAGTAGTTTTTTGACTTTGCAAAGATTTACATTTAGGTACTGAGATGCAGAGAATTATATTTAGGTTGGATAACAGTTGTATGAGCCCCTAATAAAATGTTAAAAAAGAAAAAAAAA